GCTCTGATCTCTGCCTCCATCTCAGCCTTGGATGCTTTCCCAAGGAGGAAGATTCCTAGAAGCCAGCTCAGTCCTACATTTGAAAGACAATGCTCCCAAGTCCTTTCTTGATTCTACTTCTCTCAGCCCAAGCACCACCTTGAATCTCTCCTAGTCCCAGCCCCTTTGTTCTCCTCTGTTTGCCAAGCCAAAGCCTTTCAGCAGATGGAAATATTTTAGAGATGGTCGGACTCTTCAGATAATTTTACAACCCACTTGAGTGGGTTCCAGCTTAGGAATAACCTAAATCTCTAGTAAGACTAACTGCAGCAAAACTTTGGTCTGCTGCATTTTCTTAAAAAAAACCCCAACAACAAACCACAGCAAGTCTCCTCCAAGTCTGCTCTATTCCCAAATGTTCTGGTAGACTTTAGTTTCAAGCAGCAGCCAGCAGTATTTGCATAGTTCTAGCTTGTATTTGGTTACAAATATTTAACTGCACATGCGTGTGTATGCATGTATTTTATACTGAAATATCCCTTGAATGACAATGACTAAATTAAGGCTGCTGAGCTCCTCTTTAGGCCCTTCCACTGCAGATGTCAGAGCTCTGGGCATGGCTCTCACCTCGTTGCAGGAGCAAAGACTCCGCTATGTCAGTGGGATCCCAGATTTTCCAGCTGCAGCCTTGGCCATGGGCTCAGCTCCCAGGGAAAACTCAGAGCCCTAAAAAGCCTCCTGAACTACAGCTTCTTGACTTACAGAGTGGTTTGGGCTGGAAAGGGACCTTTAGAGGTCATCTAGTCCAACCCCCCTGCCATGGGCAGGGACTCCTCCCATCCCCAAAATATTTCCAGCAGGGCAAGAACGGCATGTGGTGTCACTGATCTGCAGAAACACCTGGATGCTGGCACGGCTAAATTGGCAGGCATGTCACGGGTCAAAGAGGAGAGCTGGATAAAGTTTAAATCATTTTAAGTGCTATTTTTGTTGGTTCTGAACATGACCCTGTCGACCTCCCAAGCCACCTTCCACCACAAACTCTGCAGTCTGTCTTCCTATTTACACCTTGGGCTCTGCACCAGAGATGAAGTCAGAAGCAAGTGAAAGCTGCAGCTCTGCTCCTGCCAAGGCCTCCTTAGGGCTCAGTCACCCAAAGGCACGGGAGGACCCAGCTCCAAGACCAGGCCTGGGATCACTGGCTGAAAGGAGCTCTAAGTGACGTTCCCACCGCAGAGGGAACAAGCAGGGAGAGCTGTCCTGTCCATTTATTTCAACCCTGATGCCACAGAGGGCTCAAATCCTGGCTCGCTGCCCTCCCTGCTGAGCCTTCCAGCCAGGCCACAGCTTGTTCCCAAAGCTATTCCAGCTCGGAATAGCTGTCACAAATGGCAATGGGAGCAGCCGCTGCTGACCTCGCTGGGTTTAAAAACAGCAGCTTTCTGTCCCTCCTGCCCTTCCTCAGGCACCCAAACTTCTGAAAGCTAAATTATACAGATCACAGCTTGAGAACATTGTGGAGAAGGACTGACCTGATGGTGGGCAGTGCTGGGAGGACAAGCCAGGGACTGCCCATCGGCATCGGCTGCTCTGGCTCTCGCCGGGCTGATAGCCCTGGATCTTACTAAGTGGCCTTAAGCATGTTCTCAGCCTCCTGCTACAAATTCACATTCCATAAAGCCTCTCATTCATCCCTCTCTAGCCGCTGGAAGTACAAAGAGCAATTTCTTTTCACGCACTCCCGCTGCAAGAGAGCAAAAAGACCTTCTCCTTTCTCCCTTTCCCAGCTTCCCATCGGTCATCCTCCTGAGAGGAAGAGGTTCAGCTTTTTCCCAAAGCAGCAGCAGCAGCACAGTATTAACACAATCCTTGTTATTTTCACAGCTATTCACAGGGAACCTGGCAGCAGCAGGAACAGCCACGGCAACCGTCACGTCACTGGGCTGTGACTTGGCACCAGGGCTTGCTGCAGGCTTAGGGAGATAACCACGACTCTTCACATTTGGGGGGGGTGAGTTCCTTGGCAGCAAAGAACCGTGTTTCCCCTCTGAGAAAACAAACTGCAAACCCAGAGCGTGTTCTCCCTGTCGCCTGAGGCAAGCAAACTAACGGGTTAGGAAGCCCTAACTCTGAAGCGGACAGAAATGTTATGTACAGAGGTATTAAAACATGACAGAGTTCTCTTCACATCCTCCTTAAATCACAGTTGAAATCACAGTTTTGGCAGGAAAAGCTGCAGCTAGACGTGGGACTGCGAAGCTGCGCCTCGAGCCATCCCAGGAGCGTTGGCACTCGGAGAGCTGGCAGCTGATTCTCCACAGCTTGGGTGCCGCTGCGAAGAGCCGCGCCAGCCGGAGGCAACGGGGCCCTGGCGGCCTTCTGCTGGGGACAGCACCTCTGGAGTGGCTACACCACTGCCAGGAAACTCACAGGAGGTTCTTCCACACCATACACCACCTCCAGCCCCTTTCTCCTCGAACCTTGGCCTGGCCTGCAGCGAGGAGGTCAAAGCACTGAAAGGAACGTCCGACACCGATCCCTTGGGAACGGGCCCCGCCGTCCAGCGCGGCCGGGCCTGAACTGCTTTCAGCAATGCTCGAGAGCCAGCGTGGCTCCCACACATACATACACGTCCATTAAATGCACAGAAATAATATTAAAATGATTCCCACTACCATACCTTATACTGACTCTAGCTACAAGCTATAAACTTCACCTCAGCGAGGCCCGGGCAAGAATATCGGCTCTTTTGCATGCAATCAGAAATGATCGTTTATACAGTGGCAACCTCTGCACCAAAAAAAAAAACCAACAACAAACAAACAAACAAACAAAAAACAAACCAAAAGAAAACGTAAAGGAGGGGGAAAAAAAAAAAAATCAGAAACCTTTCACAAGCTTTGTTTTTCAGCCTGGCAGGATATGAAGGACCAATTTCACCAGGCCAACGAAAGTAGTGAATCAGCACGCAGGGCTGTTTGGATGCTCCTCCATTCACAGTATCGATACAGTAAAACACAAACCTGCTCAAGAAACTCACAGCTATGCCATGGGAACAAAGGCAGTCACCATTTTATGTCAGCCCTTCCTCACTGCGGTTGCCATCTGTCTCAGAAAAATGTTGCTCGTGTGGCAGTTACTGCACCTTCACCCTTCTCTTCACAGCAAGCTTAGCAGGGAAACTTTCCCACTATATTTATATATAATATATGTATATAAATAACTTTATGTTTTTATAGTTTGGTAGTATCCTTTTAAAATTTCTATTTTAAAACACTTAAAAATCTTTTAAGCATCTAAAAGTAACTTTTGATGCTCTCTAGTGTGAACAGGATAGGATTTCAAAGTCTTTAACTCTTTTTTTTTTTTTTCTCTTTTTTTTTTTTCCCATTTTTGGTAACTTCAAAAGCTATGACTAAAGCAGCACATCTCCGCTCCTTCCCGCAGCTCGATTGCAACGAAACCTACCTTAGCCACCCTCTCACCTCATCTTCTGCCACTGCAACCTCACTGTTTGGGCACCATCCTGCTTGACCTTCGCCAGGAAACCCGACGGGGCCGGTCCCTCGGGTGGCCAAATCACCGCCCGCGTGACGATGCACTTGACAGCAGAGGAGGAAGAAGGGACAGAAGGAAAACGGAGGTGAAGTATCAGTTTTCCTGTTTGAAATGGTCAATGAAATGGTGCTTTGCAGGTGCCTGGCTCGGGGCACCCGCAAAGGTTCCTCTCTTGGGAGCACTTCCCTGTTAACACACGATCCTGGCACCAAGCCCTTCCCACACACAGAAACACATCAGAGCCACATCCCTTTCGGAGAGAGAGATGGGAGGAACAGCGAGACCCCTCGCTCATAAAAGAATCCATGAAGTGAGGCAAGAATACATCACCCTGCCCCAAATTCTTCCCTCTAAAGGGAAAGGGGCAGGAAAATGATCCCGAGTCCCAATTTACAGGTGGGGAAAGCAAAGGCTGGAGATGTTTGCATGTGCAGTCGGACTGCGGACCAAGCTTTGCTGTCCCGTGGTCAGTCCCCTGCCCACCCAGCCCCTGCTCCAACCACTCACCCAGCTCTCTGGACGAAGCCAGACGAAGTGTATTTCTTTCCCAATGTCTCTTTGTTCCTCCCATCACCCTAAGGATCAGAACTTCACCCTCCCTTTACCTCACGCCCTCAAGAGAACTCCTTCACCAGACCCGATCGGTCGTTCATTATCCCCCCTCCGTCGTGAACAACTTGGCATCAGAACCAGAGAAAACTCTTAAAATATTGCATATTTTTTTTCTTTTCAAAAAGACTTCTTCAAAAGATGTCGGAATATTTGCACTTATCTACCTGTCCCATGCTGTTCCGGTTATGAACCATGTAAGCCCGTGCAAACACCTACAACACACACGCAGGCACGTCTCTCCAGCTCGGCTAAACTCGCTCTAAAAACATCAGAGCTGCTCAGAATACAAAAAATCTTGAAGTCCATGCAAGGGGACAAGAGTTGTGATTGCTCTAGGAACCATTCACTTTAAAGTCTCCTGAACTGTTACAAGGAAATAAGGTAGGGTTTTCTTTTCTTTTTGCATTTCGTTGATAAAAAAAGTTATCAAAGTAGTTTGTAGAAACAGGTTTAAAAGCAACCGCCCACGATTGCTCGGCTGGGACGACAGCATTGCAGTATTTCTGTGTCACATATTGCTGTTAGAAAAGACAAGTGCGTGTCGAGGGGGGAGCAGGGGTGAAGGAGGGCTTTGGTAGCCAGCCTCTTAACTCTGGAATTCAGCCACTCCAGGAAATCTCTGCCTAACCCTCGGCAACCCCCGGAGCATGGCCGGGACGTCAGAGCGCTCCGAGCTCTCCAGGTCAGCACCAGCAGAGGAACAACCTCCTCCGAAAGACCCCTCCAGCCCTCCTCCCGAGGCAGCAGCGTCACAGACACCAACCTCACAGCCGCTAAATCGCGCTCTCAGCAGCCCGAGTGCTTCCTTCACGTCTCGCTGACCTCTGGAATACCGCCTTGGAGCCGCGCCTGCAGCGGGCAAGGCCAAAAGCCCTAAAGTAACAGCTTCAACAAAAAATGCAAAGAGACACACCAAAAATAAGACAGGGATAAATACAGGCGGGCTAGGCAGGCTCCACCAGCACAGTGTCTTTGTTTTCTACCTGGGAAAGGGACAAAGGCAGCGGGGCCCTTTGCCCCTGCTCTCCCCTCGAGCGGGACCAGCGGATGTGGCTCTGCGGGGCCACAGGGCTGTCCAGAAATACCAATGACTGCTCATCCCAGGTCACTACGGAACAGTAAAAAAATTTAAAATCCTGTCGATCCCTGAATAAGAAGTTGATTGACACAGTTGTTCTGTTTTTCTCCGAGAGGAGGAGGAATAAGGGAGAAAAACGTTTAACACTCTACGTGTGTGTGTGTGGGTGTGTGAGAGGAAGAGAGAGAGAGAGTGAGAGAGAGAGAGAGAGAGAGAAAGAGAGAGAGAGAGAGAAAGAGAGAGATTTTTCTATTTTGGCAACATCTCGGGAGCTCCTTTCTGTCCAGTGGTGGCATTGCACTAATCACAGTACCAGCCTGCCAGGTTGGTGCTGACTCTGGAGAGCCAAGAAGGGGAGGACGGTCCTTCCTCCCCGCGCTCCGCAGCCGTGTCTCAATCCGGCCCCGTGGTGGACACAGATCCCTGTGCCGTCTCCCCCACAGCCACGGCCTCCTCCTGCGGAGGGGACTCCTCCTCCGCCTGCCCCCGGGACGTGACGGTGGTCTCAGGGGAGATGCTGTGGGGCCCCTCCAGGGGCAAACAGCCGGGGTGGTTCTTGCGAAAGTGCTGGTTGAGGATGGCCTGGAAGGGGAAGCTCTTGCCGCAGACGTGGCAGTGGAAGGGCTTGTTGCCCGTGTGCTTGCGGATGTGATACTCCAGCTGATCCTTGCGGGTGTACTTCTTCCCGCACATGCGGCACACGAAGGGGGTGATGCCCATGTGCAGCCGCATGTGCCGGTCCAGGCTGCCCTTCTGGTTGAAGGATTTGGCGCAGTAAATGCACGTGAGGCGCGGGTTGTACCGGAACCAGCGCTCGGAAACCTCCTGCTCCCGCAGATACTCCACGTAACCACTCACTCCCAGCATGGCTGATTCCTCCCCCTGCCAAGGAAACAGCAGAGATTTAAATAACGAGCGGCCTAAATAAAAGGCAGAGAAGAAGATCAGGCCCCAGTCCAGCCAGTAAAGCGCGTGCCAAACCTCAAAATCAGCAGCACTAATGTCTGCAACCTCAAGCACATATTTAAGTGCTTAACTGGGGCCTTGGGGCTGAAGACAAACGAGCAATCAATTAGAAACCACTGCTACAGAGGCCCCCTCTGCCAAGTCATTCCCTGGATCCGGGGAAGAAAAGACAGTCCTTGTCACGAGCATGCTTGGCCACCGATGGAGTCGTGGGGCACGTGTGTCTACGCCTGTCACTTTTTTAAAAACCTGGGCCAGTGTTGTTAAAATACCGTATGCCACCCTCTGTTTTACTTACTGAAGGTTGAAAGAAAAAGCAGCCAATTGATGAGTTGGCTTTTTAAAGCAGAGGCGGAATGAACCACAGACGGTGCTTTGAACCCTCGAGGTGCCATTTCACCCCTCATGGGGGTGTCTATTCAGGTGTCACTCAGAGTCACCTTTGCCTGCCTGGCTGTGTGACCCAGCCCAGCCTCTGGCCCGGCTCTCACAGCCAGGACTCGCTGGCTCCTCCATCTTCTCCAAGGCCACACAGCCAAACAGCCAAGGGCAACCCTGACCCACGACAGACACTTCTGGCCATCGCCTCCCGATGGGGCACAGGCAGACGACTCTGGGATGCTCTGTGCCAGGGGACTGCCCTCCCAGCGCTGCTTCCCAGCGGTGCCAAGCACAGAGAAGGTGTACCAGCAGCAGGGCCCCTCCTCTGGCGGCCAGGGCTGTGTGAGCAGCACTGCACCTGTGCCAGGTGCTGCCGGATCCAGCACAGGGAAGCTGCTTGGGACTAAAGGAGATGCACAAAGCTCTGGTGCCTCCTTTCCGCTCTGCTGCTGCCACTGGAACCACAGGCAGGCTCTTTTAGTATGGATATGGCAATGCCAGGAGGGTGGAGGGGGATGAGCCCTCCCCGTGGGTGCAAAGCCTCAGGTTTTCTATTTGAGGCCATCTCACAGCGCAGAAATAAGAGCAGCCTTTCTGCAGGAAGAGCTAGAATTGCTTTGTATGTCACATTGTCCCTGGAGGGTGAGCCTGACCTGAAATTTTCTCAACGTCTTCTAAGGACACAAAACAAAGCTTTGGAGAATCAGGAACAAAAGGTCTCTGCTGTTTTATGGCAGTGTCTGACAGAGGCAGCAGACAGCAATCGCGATTTTTTTTTCCCCTTTGCTTCATTTGGTCTTACTGAAGGGTAAAGCAGCCTGGTAACTCCTCAACCTGCCTCCAGCCAAGCCCCTGGCTTACACACTGACACGCTCCCTGTTTGTCAGGCTCACAGAGTTGCACTGTGTTGGCTGACACACTGGCACTGCAGTGGCACTGTGACACTCACTGTGTGCAGCAAAACTAGACCGGGGTGATTAGGCACAGGCATTGCCACTGTCCCATCTTGCTGCACTCCCCACTGCCCTCCCCCGGTTCTGCATTTCTCTCCCTCCTCCCCCAAAACTGTTGTGCCCGAGAAAGCAGAGAATTCAGAGGTACTTTACGCGTTGCAAATTCTGCTGTGCAACAGCAGGTCCCTTGGGGATGAGAGAGAAACCTCTGCACAAATCCACAGCCCTTTGACTCTCCACCCCAAAGGTTTATGGGTGTAGTGCCTGGAGGGCTTTTTGGAAAGGTTCAGCTGTTGTCACCCCTCAGTCTTCCCCAGAAGCCAAGCCACACCTCCTCCCTCAGCTCAGGCATTTGCTGCCAGTGTTTCAGGGCAGATCCAGCTCTGCAGGCAAAAGGGATTTCTCCTCAGGAGTTCGTGGCCTGCCCAGAACGAGGGTGGATATTTATGCCCTCAGACAACAAGAGAAACTCCTCGTGTTTTCCAGGTACCTGGCCAAAATCCCAAGCGGCTGCAGTCAGTGTTAAATTGTACACAGCCAGAGGGAGCAACTAAACCCTCTGCAACAGCAAAAGGCCCTCGTTTCACACGTGGCATTGCTTGCAAATACGACACACTCCGTCACAACACAGCCCCCTTCACCTCCAAGCCAACATTTGCAAACTTCTTGATCTGCCTACCTGGGAACTGGGCTGCTTGGGCTCATCCATCCGCCCGGGAGACTCGCTTTTTGATCTGTACCGCTCAGTCACAGCAACCATGCTGCCAGAAGGGCTAAATCTGTGGGGTGGGGGAAGAGTGTCAACGGAGTGTTTCACGGGCATCAGGTCACTAGGGTGCTTAGAACAGCGGGGGAGCAGTGGAGGCACCTGCACAGCATCTCTTCCCCCTCACCAGCCAACACACACGGGGTGGAGCAGCGCAAGTATAAAGGGAGAACTGAGGTCTGGGGGTTCAGCCTGAGCATCTGACACGTAAAACCGAGTCATTTGGCTTCCAGCTCAGTGACAGAGCTTCGGGGTTTCTACCAGGAGTAAGCTGGCAAAGGCCCAGTGACTCAGGAACTCCGCAGCAGGAGCAGCAACCATTTCTCTGAGGGTACTCTCCTCCACCACCCACACCCTCCTGCCCCTCCCCGGTGAGGGGTGTGATGGACTCCAGGTGGGAAACAGTGGACAGTGAGTGCAGTGCAAGAAGAGATGCTTGAGATCTGATCCCTGGAAAAGAGCTAAGGAAGTAGAAAGTATCGCTCTCCCAAGGCCCAGCTCAAGACTGCTCCCACTGATCCATTTATTAAGCAACAAGTGGCAGAATATCCACTGCTTCCAGGCAGCTGTTCCTCTCTGGGACCAGAGGGACTGAGGTGGAAGAGAGGCAGATGTGGAGGGACACCCTGCAAATACAACCCCCTCCAATCCAACAGACCTGCCCTTTATCAGATCTGCTCTCTGGGCTGTGCTTGGGGCGAGAAAACAAATCCTGGAGCCGAGGGGAAGCAGGTGGATGGAGACTCCAAACACAGCAGATTTCACCACTTGTTTGCACGTAAAGGCTTTCTGCTCTCTCATATAAATCAAACCAACAGCGGAGGCCGCTGGGCTCCCCACTTCAGAAGGTGTAAACCCAGGGCCCACTGCTGCCCTGGAGCACCAGGAACCCGGCTTGTTCCTCAGCCAGAACCACCCCCAGATTTTCAGGCCAGAAGGCATCAGTGCAGTGACACTTTGCATAACACATATTTGTATTTGACCTCGTTAATCCCCGTGCTGAGCCCGGCATCCACCGAGGCTGCACAGAGCATCTCCCTTACACAAAGACCCCACCTCACCTGGAACACTGAGGTGCAAATCCCAACCTATGCACAGAGCTGGCCTGCATCTGGAGATCCTGCTCCGATCACGACCCAGCCAAAACACTCCAACCCAAACCGGACACACTTCCTTACACCAGGAAAACAAAAACTCCTCCGGCACTTAAGATGGCCACAGGAAACAGGAGGAGGAGGAAACGTTCCACAGCGACCAACCCGGCCAAGCGAAAACCTGGCCCGGCCAAGGTCAGCAGCTGAGTCAGAGGAAACCCACCTGTCGATGTCGGTGCTGGTCGGCCTGACCACCTTGGCCCCCGAGGAGCCCAGGGCGTAGGCGTCCTGGCCCAGCGCCCCGTGGCCCGTGGTGTCGATCACCATGGCCGTGACCTCCTCGGCGCTGCTGCCGTCCTCCCCCGAGGGCTGGTGCTCCGCCCCCAGCCACTCCTCCAGGTTCTCGGTTTTGATGCGCACTCCGCCCAGCACCCGCACGTCCTCGTCGCTCCGGGCCCCGCGCTCCCCCAGCCCCGTCTCCACGTACCACTGTCCCGCCCTGTTAATCCGCAGGATGGGCTCCCTGCCTTCCACGTCCGAGCTCTGCTCGATGATCTGGGGGCTGGTGGACTCCTCGGGCGGGCTGAGCTCCCGGATGTCCAGCACCGTGCTCACCTGGCCCAGGCGGCTCCCCTTCGGGGTGTTGTGGCGCGGGCTCAGCGATCGGTTCAGGGTGGGTGTCACCCGGTGAGACTCGGGCGGCCTCTCCTGGTGCTTCGTCCTGGTCTGGCTCAACTCGGCCTCCACCTCCGCCACGTTGATTTTGAAGTGAATGCCCTCGAGGATCTGCGTGCACTTGTCTATGATGTGCTGCATCTGCAGGAAGCTGGCGGCCGTCAGGTAGCTGATGATGTCGGCCAGCTGCAGGCAGATCCTGCCCGTGTAGCAGAAGGAGAGGAGCTGCTCGAAGACGGAAGGGTTCTTGATGACGGAGATGGACACGGTGCTCATCTCGTTGAGGGACATGTGGTCGCGGAAGTAGGGCGAGCTGGCCGCCAGCACCACCTTGTGCGCGCGGAACGCCTGGCCCTGCACGTTGACCACGATGTCGCACAGCCGGCCCTGCATGCGCAGCTGGTTCAGGTGGCTCAGCACAGAGTTGCTGAAGTCGGGAATCTCCAGCTGAATGTTCCCGCTCTTCTCCATGGCGGCGCCCGTCGCAGGCGCGCGGCTGCGCTGGGAAAGGGGGAGGAGACGCCGGCGTTAGCAGAGCCGGCCCGTCACTGGCATTTAGAACCTTTTCTACCTGCTTCCACCCGTGATTTTTAGAGACCTCTCTCCCCACTGAACTGCCATGCACCTGGCAGGGCTCTGTGCACCACCCTGCACCGGGTTCTGCTGAACCAGCCCCCGACAGGCCCCCACTCCCTGCGGCTTCGGCGCCCGAAACACCCCGCTCCGTCAGCCTCGATTAAAGCACATCTGCATTGTAAAAAGAACATCAAAAATGGTTCAGGTACTAAAAATAGGCAGCTGATTGCATAATGGATTAAAATACTCGGCACTTGTACCTTCTGAGCACTTCGGAAAGGGAAAGTGATATTGTTACGCCTCCTTTGCACAACAGGAATCAGGAAGGACACACCGAGAGCTAAATCCTCCTGAGGCTTCTGAAAAGCTGGCCGGCACACATCTGACCTCGAGGCATCTCCAGTGCCTTGCTAATCCCAAGACATCCATCATATGTGGCACTTCTGACACGTGCCAGAAAACAGGATGTAACAGGGGGGTGAAAGAAAAAGGGGTGGCCCGGGAGAGTCAAAGGGCCTCACCCGGGACCACTTTGTTTGTGGGGTCACGAGGCCACAGCGGTGATCACTGAGTTCCCATCCTGGCCACATCCCAAGTCTGTAGCTGCTGGGCTCTTTCCCAAAGCACAGCAACAATGGGACTGTTCCACTGGGGCTGCAGTCCCCAGCGGTGCCGGATCTTACCGAGGCTGCAAAGGATAACGGCTCGTCCTCTGCTCCCCACCTGGGCTGGGACGTTCCTGGTTGTCCCCACCTGCGCCACCCAGGAGCTCCTGGCAGGATCAGGGAGCACCCCCTGGCCCAGTTGGTGCAGTCAGGGGACACTTCACTGCTCAGTGGGTCCGTCAAGGCTTACCGGGAGCTCCCCAGATGCTTCCAGCAGGGCCAGGGATGGGGGGATGCACCGCCACACCAGCACACTGCACGTTTTGGCAAAGTTTGCAAAGGAGCCTTGACCATATATGGTCAAAATTTGGAATGATCCAAAATTAGACGTAAACTCACCCCAAAAAAAGAAGAAAGTAAATAAGCTTGTTCAAGCCCCTCACGGCGTGAGCGGCTTCGGAGCTGGATGGCACCTGAAGGGAGGACTGAGCAGAGCACTGCAGGCATCAAAACCACCTCAGGCAGGCTGGGAATACCGAGGCTGACAGTGCCTACTCCAAGGAATCCCAGAATTAAGGCTTCTTCTCCCCTTCAGGCCTTGGAGGCCACAATCAGGTCACCCCGAAGCTTCTCTCTTCCAGGCTGAACAATCCCAGCTCTCCCAGCCCTTCCTCCCAGCAGAGCTGCTCCAGCCCTCTGGACTTGCTCCAACAGGTCCATGTTCCTCCCTACCTTTAGGAGATAAAGCCCACGCCCCAACCCCAAGGAGCTGCAGAGCCCAATCCCACAGGAACAGAGCGCTGGGAGCAGAACTTCCCACACACACCAAGCCAGGGGGAACGGGAACCCCAACGTCCTACCTGGAGTGCTGGGAGTTACATGCAGGGCCGGGGAGGAAGCAGGGGGTGCTGCCTTCTTGTTCTCCTGCTTCCTTCTGATGTAGTGGGAAGGTCTGGAAGCTTGTTGCCCCCTTCCCCTTGAGGAGGGAAAAAAAAAGGAAAGGAAAAATGAAGCCTGGAGGGATTGCATGCTCCTGAGCACAGCCAGGGACATCAGGCTTTGTGGTTCCCGGCTCTGACACAGGATCCAGCAGCAGGATCACCTTCCCAGGCAGGAGAAAAGGACCATCCCAATTTCCGTCCTCCCTGGGAAGTCCTTCACCTGCACACACCTTTCCCTCAGGGCTGAGCCTCAGCACAGGGCACACACTGGGACACTCAGCTGCTTTCAGGGCCATTTGAAGTGTCACCAGCTCGGACCTGGACTTTAATTCTCTCAGCAAATGCCTTTCCCTGCGTGAGGCAGCTCCTGGGAGCAGGAATTCTGGCTCCATCAGGGAAAAGGCAGGGGGAGATGCCCCCTCAGCAGGTGATGTGCACTGTGAATGGCCCTTGGCAGGCACTCGCCCTGGGGGCTGCACAGAGGGGCTGAAAACTCCTTTTGGGCTCAGATCTACTATGATTGGGCAACTCCACAGAACACCCTGAGCTGGAAGGGACACACAAGGATCAGAGTCCAACCCCTGGCCCTGCACAGACACCCCAACAATCCCCCCTGTCAAAACCCTCCTGCAGCTCTGGCAGCCTTGGGGCTGTGCCCACTGCCCTGGGGAGCCTGTTCAGTGCCAACCACCCTGTGGGGGAAGAACCTTTCCCTGAGATCCACCCTGAGCCTGCCCTGACACAGCTCCAGCCATTCCCTGGGGGCTGTCACTGCTAACCACAAACAACTTAGAATCCCGGGATGGTTTGGGTGGGAAGGGACCTTAAAGATCATCCAGTCACGGCCCCTTCCACGGGCAGGGACACCTTCCACCAGCCCAGGTCGCTCCAAGCCCCGTCCAACCTGGCCTTGGACACTTCCAGGGATCCAGGGGCAGCGACAGCTTCTCTGGGCACCCTGTGCCAGGGCCTGCCCACCCTCACAGGGAGGAATTCCTTCCCAATATCCAAACCCGACGCGACTCGGCTCCTCCCAGATCCCGGCGGGACTTCTCCCGACTGCCCGACCCGCGGCGGTGCCCCCCGGCCCTGCGGGGCTCCCGGTGCCCCCCCGGCCCTGCGGAACTCTCTCCCGGCGCTGTCCCCGGCGCTGCCCCTCTGCTGTGACAGCGGCACCCGGACCCCGGCGCGGGGGCACAGCCCGGCCCGCCCTGCGCTCCCCCCCGCCTCGCCCCGCCCCGCCCGTGCCCCCGCGCCCCCGGGGCGGTCCCGGAGCTCTCCCCGGAGCCCCCCCCGCCCGCCCCGCCCGCCCCTGCCGGCCCGGCCTCACCTGCCGGGGGTGGGAAGGGCCCGCAGCGCCGGCCCGGAACCGAACGGCGCCGGCGCGGGCCGCGCCCCGGAAGGAAACGCCGTGCGGACCGCGGACCCGCGCACCGCCCCCCCCCTCACCGCGGGGCGAGTCACGTGACAGCACGACCCTATATAAAGGCCGCGCAGGAACTGGCCCGCCTTTTCAATCCTGAGGCGCCAGATGGGTCCGGTCGCTCCGCGCGGCCCCGCGGTGAGTGCGCGCCTGTCCCGCACCCGGGCCGGCCCGGCGGGCGCTGCGGGGCATCGGGGCGCGGCGGGGTCCCTGAGGGGCACCGGGGCGGGAGGATGGCGGTGGATTGCGGTGGATTGCGCCGCCCGGCCTAGGCCGCGGCCGCTGCGCCTCATGACGGCCCCGGGGCGGTGCGGGCGGGTTCCGTGGGATCCCCACGCGGGATGGGGGTATCACCGTGGGGTGCGTGGTAATACACAAGGCGATGAGGTGTCGGGCCTTACACAGGAGCCCTTTTCCCGTGGGAAACGCGCCTGGCGTGTGGCAGTGTGGAACGGGCCCGCTGCGTTTTGTGGGTTTGCGCGCTGGGCTTTAAAGGTGGTTGCCTTGGCGGATAAATGTGTAAAATGCGATTGTAGCTCTGTGGAAGGGTTAAGCATTTCCTCCCCGCCTGAAAAGTGCCCACGGTGCCCTGAAGGACCAAGGGTTGGCCTCAGGGCCCCGAGGCTGCCGGGGCTCGGGGAGCGTTCGGACACGGCCCTGAGGGACGGGGGGCATTGCTGGGCTGTCCGGGCAGGGCCAGGGGTTGGGTTGTGATCCCAGTGGGTCCCCTCCAACTCGGCATGTGCTGTGATCGTGGATATTTAAAGAGGAGGGGTTCGCTCGGACTCCCTTATGCCCGCACATGATGAGAACTACGTTGGTAGGGACATCTGAGAGGGTTTTTGATGAATGCCAACGTATCTGAGCTGGGCACGGGGACACTGGGGGCCTGTCTGGGGTGGCTGAGGCGCCACGTGGGCCTCTCGGAGCAGCCAAAGGTCACGGGGCTGACCCAGTGATCGTACAGCAGAATTAAAGCGGGAAAAAGGAAAGTACTTCAGTGGTTCTGTTCTGCCTAAAAATACAGGCCAGCAGTTATTTATTATGTCCTTGTTTGATCAAAGAGCAGAAATTTAGATTGTGTTGGGAGAGACATTTTAAAGCTCTCAAAGTGGTATCTATAAAAATAACATTTTTCAAAGAAGAATATCTAATATGCTTTCTTGTTTTCAGTTTAAGATCCATCAGCTGTGCTGTTCCCTCTCATGGCTTCAAACCAGGTAAGTTTTGCTTCTTAAATACAGAGTTTAAATGGAAAAAAAAAAAAAGTGGATTCACGTACAGCAATTAGACTGGAGTACTCTTGTGTCAGGGAGTTACAGGATCAGCACTGGGGATGGTGTCTCCTCAGGCACTCCTTATTTGTTTAGTTAGAAAAGTCACCTGTTTCTTTGTCCTGGAGAGGGTTTAGGAGGCTCCTGTTGTTCCTGAACCGATGGTCATGCTGTAACCAGGCCACAAGAGTACCCCAGATCCCTTTCTTTACTGCTGTATCACCATTCACAGCAATAAATAGTAAATCGATTGAACAAAAACTAAATCGTTGTTCTGGGAGAAGTGCCTTGAGTGTGTTGCAGGAAGAGTGAACTGAGGGGATTGCTGTTGACTGAACCACAGAGCCTGTGATGGTTTCAGTGTAAAGAGTAGTGGACAGAAGTGATTTCTGAAAACTCCATGCTGAGGCTTTTTTCTGCGCTTGGTGTGGCTGCCAGAGGAGCTCCCAGTCCTGCAAACCCCTGAACCTGTTCTGTCTCTTCCAGGTCTGCCCCCAAATGCACAGCCTTGATGCCACTTCACAAGGTAATTCATAATTAATGAAAACTGAGCACAAAACTATGCTCAGGGTTTGTCTAGACAGTGCCTTTAGCTCTGATAATTCACATCAGTGGTCAGACAGCTCCCTGAGCCAGGTTCTCCCTCTGGTGCCACAATGATGACACTTATTTGCTACTCTTGACCAAGAGGGTGATGAGCACTTATACCACCATAACAGTTTTCTGAGGCACAGCAACGTAGAGTTCCCCCCTGTGCTTTGAGTGCTGAATATCCTGCTCACAAGCTTTTTTTTTTTTCCCCTCCCAGGATTTGGCTCCTGCAGTCAGCAGACATGCAGAAGGAACATCACCTGGTGAGAAATGTGTACTTTTAGAGGGGTTTCTTCCTTGGGGCTGTTGAAACACTGCGGTGGGAAGGATGGGACGTGCTTTAAAATTAGTTTCCTCTAGGACCAGAATCAGTTTATACTTGCTAGTATTCAAATTTGTGGATATTTCTTTGTTTTATTGGGAAAACTTAAATGTAAAAGTTGTGACAGGGGGTGATGGCTGGGTGGGGTGGTTCCAAAGCAGATACAGTGATGATGGCATAGTTCAGCAGAGCGTCCTGTGACGAACACTTCTGTCTTTCGCTCCTATCTGATGTGTCTGCCTCTTGTGATCTCATCAGGAGCTCTGGGCTTGGGCACCAAGGCTGAAACAACCTCATTTTAATTTTTTTTCCTTTGTTGCAGGCCCTGGGAGGTGAAGCTCTAACCCGTGCAAGGTGAGTATCGCACTGCCTGTGTGTGTCCCTGCTGTGGGAGGGGCTGCTGTGATGACAGCATAGTTCAGCAGATGAGCCGTGGTGATCACTCTGGCACTGTCTTTCGCTCCTGTCTGATGCAGCCTCCTGCCCTCAGGCTGTTCCAGACAAATTGTGTGGAAAGCTCAGAGGGAAACACTCCCATTTGATCAGTAAATGTGTTCTGAAAATCGACCCAAAAGATCCATGAAGGGGATTAGCATAAAAAAGTTTAGTGGGGTGAAGAGAAGGGTAGGGAATAGGCTGTGCTTGTAAATTAGACACAAGTACAGCAGAATAAGGTTAATCAGGTGTTAATGCTCCAACTTCTGAGAGTGTTCTGCTGCTTTGCAGATTGCCCTGGACACAGGAGACCTGTGCCTCTTGTGTGAGGAGCTGTTTCACCTGTCTCTGATGTTGGTGAGGACAAGGCCTTCCTAATTGCAGGTAACTAATAATCTACTTTTAGGGTTTATTAGACTTTCATCTGCTGCATTTGAGCTCGGGAGCTTTTGGAGATGTCTGCAAATTCATTGTGTTTTCCCTGGAAAGCATGAAGCAAAGTGTGCTTTTGGTGAATGCCACAGTGCTCTGAATTCAGTGCCCAGAACGCCTGTCCTGGCTTAGCACTGCTGGGGTATTTACAGAGTTGATGTCACTGCACTCTGCAGTTCAGAAGTTTGCTCCTTCCTGCAATTTCATTGGACTTTGGAGCTGAGGGATAAACCTACTGGGGTGTTGGATCTCACTGGGAGCTGGCTTTGCCTGTGGGAGGGGATTGGGGGAAGGCAGCCTCTACTGTAGATGATGTTGAATCAGGTCTCTGATCCCCATGAGGACAAAACTTGACCAAATGCTGATACAGTATTTTATTGGAACTGTTCTTATGTTAACGCTTCCTGCTGGACCTCATCTAATTACATATTTTTCTTTACAGGCTTTCAAAATGCTTCTCCTTGCAAGGTGAGTATTTGATTAACTCTGCAAGTATGGATATTTCAGAATAAGCCCAGAAGTGAAGTATTTACCTGTGTGTTTCCTGGGGGGAAGGGGCCAGTGGCTGGTGTTGTCTGCTGCCTGCCAGCTCAGCCAGAACAGGAGGGTGTTTAAGGGAAACTGCTGGATAAGGCCCAGCCTGGTGAGAGCTCCCAGGGAAGAGCTGAGCACACAGAGTGGCCCTGAAGGCACTGCTGGTGGATTTGCATCCTAGAGCAGGGACTGACAGTGAGAGCTGCCTGTGTGATGAGATTGTGACTGTCCTGACTCCAGCCCTGGAGGTCTGCCATTAGCTCTATCTGACTGCAGGCACCTGGCTGAGGTTCCCTCCTCCTCTGCTGCTTCCCGTGCTGTGTCCTGATGGTTTGCATCATTCCAGGTGCAGTGGAGCTGGGACGTGGTGCAGTTGGGGGGCAGTGCTGCCAGCAGAAGGTGAGTCACCAGCTCATGGATGTGACTGCTCAGAACTGCGTGGTACAGGGGGCGGGGAAGCTTCTAGATCCTATAACTGCAGTGCAGCTGCAGCACCAAGCAGAAGGTTTCTTGGGGATTTTATTTCCTTTACCAGGTAAAACACACAGATTACCAGCAGCCTGCAGGGTTCCCTCACCCAGAGTGCTGCATCTCTCAGACTTGATAACTTCTCTTTTCTGTAACTGAGAAGAATAGGGTTCATTTGGGAATGTCAAGCTGCTCTGGACTACTTGAGTTCTCTGTTAATGAGTGTGTGGTAACCTGGCAGCACAGAGCTCGTGCTCACCAAAGCCAGTAGTTAATTACTGTTGTTAATTTAGTAGTGGGCTCCTGCAGGGAGTAGCAGTGATCTTCAGGGCTGACTGGGGTGAATTATTTTTCTTGAATGCTAGGTCAGGGCTTTTGCATGATGTGAATGAAGATGTGGTTGGGGATATAAGATCTGAAATGCTGAGATCAGATCCTCTGAGGAAAAAGAAAACTGGCACAACATGAAGCTGCTCTTAGGAATGTACTGTTTGTGATGAATTCTAAGCAATGGGAATCTCTCTGAAAGAGGCTGAGGAGAACTCTTGTGCTGAAACAGTACCCACATTCAAGCTAACTCGTGAAGCACTGCCAAGGAGAGAGTGTTAGTAAAATTTCCCTTCTTTACAGGGTGAAGCTTGTGGGGAGTTTCTGTGAGAAACAAGGTGGATGTGGCTGAGGTAAGTGTAGAGCACATGGGGCTTTGTAATTCCTGGAACAATGTTTTTGTGCTGAAGGCCTAGATAGTGGTGCCTAAAAGGAGTCCTCTAAAAGATCTGATTTGTCTTTCCCTTATTGTATTCTCATTCTCCTGCTGCCAACTGCTGAGGAAATAAACACGTGCCTGAAGAAAGAAGGCAGCTCTGAATTTGCCAGGAAAAGGAAGGGCTGTTTCTGAGCAGGCACCCAAGTGTAGTCAGTGGTAACCTTGCTGTGGAGTCCTGACTGAACACAGGATGTGGCCTCAGTGACTCTAAAAATTAAGAGTTTATTGCAGCGTTGCACTGTGGAATTAAAAGAAAAACAGCCCTGTGTTCTCTGGTTGTCCCTTCTCAGCAGTTTTTGCTGATCTTTACACTGGCTCTACACAACCTTAGTCTCAGGTTCTAGATATTTGCTGTGTGAACTTGTTTCCCAGCAGACTGGTTCTCAGGATTTCAGGATGATTTCTATGAGACTTCTAGTTTAGGCATCTAAAGTAGTAGCTCTGTGCTTACCCTGCTGCTTCCAGTGTTAGTGATTCTGTATTTCCAATTCAGTTAGGATTTGTAAGCTTTGTGTCTCCTATATTTGGGTGCTGCAAGTTAAACTCGTGAGTTGCCAGCTGAAAGGCAGCCAGGTAAAATGAGCTTGGGGACTAGGAATTCATAGATCAGTAAATAAACTTACATATCGTGCTGCTGTCTGTCATTCTGAAAGCACCTCTCTGTTCCTCAGGAAAGGACTGTGCTGTTCTGCAGCCCTGCTGGGTGAGTCCAACACTGAACTGTGTGATGTCTGACTGGGAAATGTTTGTAGCCACTGATGAGATTGATTCTGCCAGATGAATTCCTGTGATTTTACCCTTTCCGTTCCACTTTGTGCTGAGGTTACACAGCTGCTGTGGAGCCTGTGTCACTCGTGCTGCTGCATCTGCTAAGTGTGTTTTCTTCTGGCTTTAGGTGAGCAAGCAGCTCTGCAGCTACTGTATGAGGAGCTGAGAAGGTGAGTGCAAGTGCAGTAATTAAGATATTTTTTTTGCTGGAACAAGTGATGATAACCTTAGCTTGAACTCTCTCACTGAACAGAGATGAAATTCTAAGGGCTGAGATGTTCCCAGCAAGTGTCTTGTGCCGATTTGGTGTCTTAAAGTGGTTCTTATGTCTGTCCTAATTAGGTGGAGGATTGCAGTGTAATGGCCATGAACAGCATTAAAGCAGCCCCAGTGGTTTTTACCCCACTGGTCATGTTTGCCTGACCCTGGTTGGAACCAATAAAAACCTGCAAACTCTTGCCTGTTGTTGTGACCTCCTTTCTGACTGGAGCAGCTTGGTGTGGAACAGCTCTAGGCTACTGTGTAAAAGCTTGATTTAGAGCAGGGACTAAATTAGGTTAAATGCTTTGCAAGTGTTTTAACTGGGGTGTCCAGTGCTGCTGGTGTGAGGCTGCAGCTGGCCTGGCCAATACCCACACTGAGACAAAGGCAGATAATTGATGTGCTAATTAGCATGTGGTAGGTGAGAGCTAAACTTACTATTTCTATATTTGCTGCTAAAATGCCCCCAGTAATCCTGGTGTAATGTGTCCAGGTGTGCACAGAACAAGCACGCAGCTTGGATTTGTTAACCCTTTTCCTCTGGAATTGAGCAAGGCAGCATTTGGCTTCCATGAGGGGAAAACAGTGAAGAGCTGGGGAGTAAGATAGTAAAGACCTGTTGAGGTGTTTCTGCTTCCCAAAACTCGTTAATGGCAGATTTCTTTTAAAAATCCATTTTTAAGTTCCTCTGTCTCAGGGGTGATGTCAGTATTGGGAAAGTCAGCTCTGTGGAGAACTCGTTCTCCATGACACTTAAACTGTTGTTGTGGCACTTCTAATGAGAAGTAAAGCTAGACATCCAAACTTAAGGAAGGATTATTTTCAGATTATTGGTGTTCCTTAGAACCGTTCAGTTAAGAGTAAGCTTGTGATATCTCCCTCCTACTCTACCTGGTACAATCTGCTTGAATTTAAATTACATTTTGTAGACAGAGCTGAAATCATTTTAGCCACAATGGTATCTCATCCTAGAGAAAAGGAATTAGACATTCTGTGACCATGTGCAAATTAAATCTCTTCTGCACTAAAGCAAAAGCCATTAATAATAAGGTCTGTTTTCATCCAGAGCTGATTAGTAGCCTCTTAATACTCCCCCCACCATGTTACTTTTTAAAATACCACACTTCGTTGTGCCTGTTAAAGAGCTTGAAGGGGCTGTCATAGCCTGCAGTGTAGAAGAAGTCTTCATGGAATGGTTGGCCTCTGTTCCTTAAGGTTCTGGCCAAGACTTCAGCTTCCTCAGCATATTTCTCTGGGGAGGCAAATCCACCGAAGGACCTGGTAGAAGTGAAAAAAGGGGATGTTTTTATTAAGAGTCCAAACCCCTGGTTTTAATTTGCACAGAAGGAGATTTGTGGTTTGCAAAGCGTGCAGTGTTCAAACACTTGTGATGCAGTTAGTTACTAGATAAACTATGGAAAACAAGGAGGATTTATGCTGGTTTTAAAAGCAGGATTTGAAACAGCTAACCACCCAAGTTGATTTTGATTCTGAGAGCTGGCTGACAGGTGTTGCTTTGGGTGCTTTTCCTGTAATACAGAACTGCCATGCAGTGTGGGAGTTTAAGGCTACATGTTAAGGGTGTTGTAAGAGTGATTTGAATGTTTTGTGGCACAAACTATCCAAGATTCTGGAGGGTGCACCTCCCTAAAACTCTTGGCAATATATTCAAGAGTTGGTTCAAAAATTAACATTTTGAAACCTGGGCATGTATACTTATTAATAAGACACCTGAATGTAATATTTCCAGGTGCTTGGCTTTGAGCAATGAAAGCTCTGAACAGGAGGATATATCCCTGAGTAAAAATCCTCCAAGAGAGAGTATCCCACTCCTCAGTGAGGGCTCCCAGTGAGCTGGCTCCGTGCTCACCGGACAAAGATCGCCGCCGCCTTGCGCTCCTCCACAAACACATCCGAGTCCGTGGGCTGGGGAGGGGAGTCCTGGTGTTCAAAGGGCACAAAGAACGAGATCTTGAAGTCTGTGCATCCAGATTTCACCAGGCAGGTCACTGGCACGGTCATGTCAATCTTCATTTCTAGAGGAGAGGAGAGACAGTTGTCAAAGCTGCGTTCCCAGCTCCTCTGCTTTGTACTGCTCGTCTCCATCACTTTGCCCTGCAGAACCAGCAGGTCCTACCTCTCTCATTCTTGCCCTGGATGTAGTGGAAGAGCTTCCAGAAGCCCTGGCGCATGGCTTCCTTCTGGCTCTCCCCCCTGATCACCGTGCTCACCCACTTGGCCGTCTCGTACTGACGCAGTTCATAGTCCTTGGCCTGCAGGGGAGCAGAAGTCAGAACTTGGTAACCAGATGGGTGTTAAACGTGACCAAAATTAATAGCTACTGTTTCCAAATCAGTTACCGTTGTCTCTGTTGAGCTCCACCGAGGGGACTGCAGGTCCAGGGACAGGAAGGTTTGCTTGAAGGATTTGATCATCGTGCTAGAGCTGAAAGGCAGACACGGTTCGTTGGCATCTCTTAAATCAATATGGTATTAGTGGGCAGAGAAAGCACTAGAACTTTGCCTAATGGTTTAGTTGCCCCTGAATTCCTGCTTATCCTCCCCAGTGATTCAGCAGAAAAGAGCTGAAATTTCAGTCCTGCAGGAACAGAACCAGGACCAACAACAAACTGCCTCTTGGCTGCTGTGGGAGTGTTGATCTTTCAGGTAACCCTGCCTTCACAGCTCTGTGACAAAAAGGTGTTCCCTGGCAGTAAAACAGAAGGTGGAAATTCTGCAAGTGGGACTTTATTGGAAATGTGTAAATAAAAAAAAGGACTTGAGGAGTTCAGTCTGTTTGCTCCAGGATGAAAAGCATTGCTTGGTGTTGGTGGATGCTCTGGTATTGACTTACTGGGCCTCTCATAATGACTTTGCCTAAACTCCAGAATTAACTTGACCTTGGTTTGTTTGGTCTCTCATAATAGCTGATGCCTTTCCTAAAGGCCTTTAGCCTCAGGGCCCTGTGGATAAGTGAGATTTCCTGCATTTAGGAATGAGTAGCTCCTTCCCACGAGAGGAAGGCACTGAAAACTTGAAAAACTCTGTCCCAAAGCAAAGCAAGTGAAAAGACTCAAAATCAGCATTGAAATAATCACATTTGGTGAAAAGCCTTAAGATTTTAGGAGCCTTCATGTGTGACTTTTGCCATGACCAGGCAGATTGTAGCCCTAAACCTCCATCTGACAATCCTTTCCTGTTACATCACTGTCCTTTGCACTTCACGTTTCAAAGACAGTGTCATTAATTCAGCAATTATCTCGCTTCTTAGGTCATAGGACATTGTATTCTCAGGCTGCAGCTCAGTTACATGTTTTGTTGGGTAACAGAACATGACTAGTTTTGTAAAATCAACTCTGTCACTTTACTTTCTTCTGTCTCCACCTTCCTGTGACATGTGGAGTACTGTTAAATACCATTAATCCCTCTTCCACACCCTACTCTAAAGGAATTCTTTGGGGGAGCTGAGGTTGAAAAGTTAATTTAAAAACAACAAAACACACAACCCAAAACCAAACATAAAAGAACCCAAACCGGACAAACCTTAGAACCCTTAAAATCAGGTTGGGCAGTGTTGCTCACACTTCGAGCTTATCCCAGCAGCTCCTTCCCTTGGTCCCCACAGAGCAGGGGGAGGTCCCAGAATTCCCCAGCAGGACACAGGTGCCAGCAGGTAAAGGTTAACACTTGCAGTAGCTACTGGACTAGCTGGCTTCTCTCCACGTGCCAATTCCAACTCCTCAACACACCTTTCCTGAACTGCTGGGCACATCTCAGCTCTGGCTTTGATAACTCTTTGGGCAGTGCTGTCAGTGCATGTTAGAAATACTTATTAATTAAATAAACCAATGCTTTGGGGTGGGAGAGACAAACTGAGAAGACTGCCCCAGCTATTTACAGCTGAGTTCATTTTAGATCTGCAGGAAAGCTGAGCTTTGACATGTCCATCTGTTCATAAAAGCACGCCTGGGGGTATTCAGGTTCTCCTGCAGCTGTTAACACGTGGGCCGAGGGGTATAGCCAGTAGGTTATACCATTGCCACAAGTGAGCACAGCCAGAACATGCCATTCCACGAGCCACTAACGCTGGTGAGGAAGAGGGGAAAGCAGACGTACTTACATTTTCGGCTGCCTTATCCCGGTGGGTGTTGCGGTCTGTGCTGCTGGGGCTGCACATCCTCGTAGGATGCTGCATGTCTGTGTTTATTTGAGTTTGGGCAAGCCCCGCCCCTGCCTCAGCCCTACTGGAGGGGGCTGCTGTTACGAAAGCCGGAGGGCTGGAGCCCCGTGCTGCCCTGGGCCTCATTGGAGAGCCCCCCACGCAGATGCCAGAAGCCCCACCTCCTGCCCACGAGGCAACACGGGGGCCAGTGTGTGAGCCGCCCCGTAAACAGTCCTGCACCCTTGTGTAACTTCCCCTGCCTTCCATGGCTGCGTGCCCGCCCGCGGCAGGGTCAGCAGCAGGTTTAGTGCTTCGGGAGAAAGGATTTTGCCTAAATAACGTCCCCCCAGACTCGGATTACGGGAGAGTGGGGGCCCAGAGTGCCAGCTTTTCCTTTTCTAGCCCAGGGGTGAGGGGTAGGTAGGAATCTGGCTGCGCACTCGCTGAGAACATCCTCACGAGATTTTTGCTGGCATGCTATGAAAGGCAGGCAGTGTTCTCTGCTGGCTGGCTGCTCTCAGCGGTATTTGAGGCTAATCAGCCCCCTTAGCCCTTGGATATCTGCACAAAGGGGTTACACAAAGCTGTTGTGAAATCCTGCCCTGTTTGGAATACACACAGCGGGGCCGGGCTCTTAATTTAAGCAGCTGCAGCTCCAGACATAGTTGGGGACCAGCACAATGGGGCAGATTAAACTGCACAGTTTGTGTTCTGAGGACACCTCCCAGTTTGTCGTGGCTTGTGCAAATTCCTCGCAGCCAAATTCAGATAAGCTCTCAGGGACGTGTGACATCAATAGTGGGGATGACTTTCAGCAGGAAACACACTTGGCTTGCAGGGAACCTCGGTGGGATGCTGTATGATACACTGCTGTTCTGACAGGGGGAATTAAAACCCAAACCACGCCAAACAGCAATTGTGAACTCATCTCTAAAGCCACAAAGCTCTCCAGAGCCACAGAAGAGGGTGGTGGTCAGGGAGATTTACTGCTGGAGTTGATTAGAGGCCTGAAATGCAGAGCCAGTTCTCTGCATG